GCTAAATCACTTAACCATGCTCTGGTTGGGAACAGTCTCATTCCTAGTGAGATTGGATTTCCAGAAGAGTTCGGAGTGGGAAAACCGGTTAACTTGTTTCTGCCATTGTCAAATGAAGAGTTGTACTTCAAAACAAATAGACACTTACTGGAGATGATTAGAAATATGCCAGTGTTGATGTATGAATATGGATCAATGAGAAACATTCTATAAAAAACACCCACTTCATTTTATGAGATACTGTGCCAGAAATGTGTAGATGTACTTTTGATCAGGTGTTCAGTTTCATTTCATAATGCATTCACTCCATGGGTGACAAATGTAAAAATCAGTTTATCATTTATCGTTTATTCAGTTTATCACATTAACTTCACAAGGCATAACCACAAAATTGGCACTTTAGAGTCCTTAAGACATCTGCTATCTGTAAAAAAAACAAAAACAAATCCTCCTAGTAATCATCTGATTCCCAGAACAACTCAAAGTCATCGTGGCCAGGTAAAGAAAAATCAGGCATGGACTCTGGTGAAAGAGTTGATGAGGTTTCGGAGCGCATCTTCAAGCCCCAAGACTCACTGGTGATCATTTTCTTATCTGATAGAAACAAACTTGGTCAGCAAGGAAGAAATTTGGGTAAATAAAACATTTCATTTAGGAAATGAATCCATTTGTACAGACCAGATGGTAGTTGAGAAGTAGGACATGTAGATGAACAACAGTCGCAGACAGTGGCATCGCCATATAGCTCAGTCCACCTAAAGCACACAAACATCTACAATTACTATACTCTCAGACTGGGATAGGTGAATTGAACACTTATTTAAAAAAAAAAAAAAAAAACCCGCAAACAGTTTAATAATAGAAAATGCAAAGGGGATAACCATTAGAGCAGAAATTTAGCCCATTGAGCGTACATTTGTGCTCCTTATGTGCTCAAACTCACGTCTTGGTTTTTGCATTGTACGTGCAAGACTTGGCAGTTGGTGTAGGAGTCTGTGGTCCAAAGTCCAACTCACAATGCATAAACATAGTCTACAAAGGGAAGAGAGGAGTTTTTAAAAGAACAAGTCAAACAAACCAGGAATTCATCAAGATGTTTCATAAAGGTTTCATGTTTTTACCTTTTTGGACTGTGGCAGAGAAACCATGTTTTTAAACAGAAAAGCTGCAACACAAAGCCTCACAGTCATCTTGTTAACACTGGTGTGGAACTTTGTCAGAACGCTGTTCTTGCTGTCCACCAGGCATCTACACAGAAATGATAAAGTTGGGGGGGGTGTTAATGTTTTTAAATTAAAGATTAGGGGCCAAATTAACTTTTGTAATCCAGTGAATGGATCACTTATAATAAACACTGCAAAAAAAAAAAAAATACAGTGACCCAAGTAAATCTAAGCTACAGTCAAACTTAACCCAATGACACTTACAGTTTGTGGAAACAGCAACAAGTTGATTTCTTTAATAAATCAGCATGAAAAGATCATATTTACCCATAATTCTCCACCACAGAATATTTTTCCGTCGACTGAGGGTTTGGAGTGGAACTGACAAAGCAACTGTTCAGGTACAGCCGTTTGTTTGCATCACTGGGGCCTTTGGCTTCAAAGCATATGGGTTTGCCAAGGACAAAACTCTGGCCATCAACAAGCAAGCTCCAAGATGCTGAAACCACAAACCAGTTTACACTTAAAAATAATATTTTCAGTTCAGTATAAATTAATCTCAATCAACAGAATTTGTGGCATAATGCAGATTATCACAACACATAAATTTGCCCAGTCCCTCAAACAAACGAGGATGAAAATGAGGCCAATCTTGGAGGAGAACTTAAAAACAGAAACGTGGAGCTTATAATTTTATTAAAAACCACTCAAATGCATTTGTGTTAAATGAACAAAAAATATAAGTTAATAAATAACAATATACCGTCCATTGCCATAACTGAGAACCCTGCTTTAGTTTGTAGGGCCCTGTAAATGGTTCCACCTGCTATCTTGGGTATGAATCCAACCTGATAAGAGCGATGGAACCTTCAAATTAAAAAAAAATAAATTAAAAAATAAGTCAATGAAAACTTGAATTTAGCATTTAGCGTTTCAAATCATGCCACAGAAATGAAAAACCACTTTACTTTGTGTAGCTACAACGAATAGGCATCGAAAACGGCAGGTCCCTCACAATCAACCCGGTGACAGCTGGTGTATAGTGGAGTGTGTTCATGTAAGTCACTCGATTGGCATCCTCCTGAAATTAAACATGTCACCAAAAGGCCACGTACACACTGTAAAGATTCAGGAGTGACACCGCATTGAACCATGTAGCCTACGGGAGTGAATCCCCTAGATTATCGTTCAGTGCGTGTAAACGCAACTCACTCTCGAAACTGACACAGTGGTAAATCAACGCAACGCTGTATCCGCTATTTCTGACATAAGTAAGTTTACAGCAACCATAGACTCGATGCGTTCTGCAATTTTAACCAAACTACCTTCTAAAGAGGCGTCTTGTTCACATCTGATGCGAATTTAAACCTGCAGTCCGTAAGTTTTGCCTCTTTGTCACCATCTCTGTTTGAAAGCCTGCAATTGCAGCTATACTTGCGGAATTATCTTCCTTGCGTGGGTTGTGCACTGGCACGGCTCAAGCGCGGATGAATCTAATGTGTGGCCGTCAGTCTGCAGATACTGCACTTTGTATTCACAGATTAGTACATCTTGAAAGTATGACCCAAACAAGAGTTTTCACTGGAGAATGTCATCTGAACAGTTAAGTAACAACTGCCACTTTTGTTCTAATCAACGGAGGAAAAAAGCATTACAATAAATTGCGCTATCAATGGTGATTAAATGTAACGATCGGTTAGCTCATATCACATCAAACCGTGCCAATTATCATTATTATTTTTATACTTTGTTTTCGGATTGTTGACGTTAATAACATCAGAATTGCGTGAGTGCGTGTATTTAGTGTGTATTAGCCTTAGCTGTAGATTTCAATTTTTTGATTACAGGTGAACCTCCAGTCACTGATGATTGTCGTTTCGACCTTTCTGGATCACAATCAGAGGCGTTATGCCCATTCAAAGTGAGGGGGCATGTGCCTCTGTACAGCGCTGCATTATAACCAATCACACACGATTCTGTTGAGCTTATGAACGCAATTACCAATCAGAAGAGTTCAGATGAGTCAGCTGAAACGCTGTTTGGTTCACTTGCTCGCTGACCGAATTATAAACAAGTGCAGATGTGCCTACAAATGCAAGTAAGATATTCATTTCACAGTGTAAACAGCTTGAGTGATTTTAATGGGAGTTTTTGAGATTGTCTGAACTCTGGCTAGACTGAAGTGAAAATGTTCTTTGATAAATGTAAATATGCTTTACTCTCTGTAAAATGCATATATTAGTAACTTACAATATTGTTATTAAATACACAGTCAGCCTTATAAAAAATATTTTATGGCATGACACCCATATCTGGTACTTAAGAAGTGGGGTTTTTAATGTGCAGTTAATTGATTACACTATTACTCTACTTTGCCCCTCACCCATTATAGATCAAATAATCTGGTGCAAAACGCATTTACTTACACATGTTTGAGAATCGAGATATTTCCTGATGTAGTTAACACGTTTGGAAATATTTCGAATAAAAAGGAAAAAAAAACAAAAAAAAAAGCCTATCAGTTATACAGTGCTATCAGTTGTGGCTACTGTCACATACTTGCTCAAATGGATTTTGGATAATTTTTAAACAAACAAAAAAAAAAAAGTTACGGACTGCAGCTTTAAATACGTCATTAACAGCGGTTCGGTTGTAGAAGGCGGCTGTCAATCCCCTAAATTACTGAACTGTGTACACAACAGGATTGAGCACTTGAAAGTGAATTGATAGCCTAATTTAGCTACAGTGTGTACCTGGCCATATAGTCACTCACCTCTCGTTTTACGCCACATTCTTTCAGAGAGTACAGAAGATAATAGTGAGTGGCCGTGGCTTTATTGACAGCACACGTTCCCAGTTTCAAGTGCGTCCACGCGCCGGGACTGGTACAAAACCTCTTCAGGACTCTCACGTACATCCGGTCCAGGTAACACAAAACGTCCACAATCTTCGGCGCACCGGAGACCGGAGTACCGGATATCGCGGTAGGTGCTGTGGGAAGAAGTATTGACTTGACCAGCGGAGGCATCGGTTTACCGCCCTTTTCAGGGGTGAAATGCTCTTTGTAGAGCTCAACCGCTGGAATTCGTACCGACGCCGGTAGTTTTAGCGGAGGGTTCGTTTTTAAGAGCCTTTTGGTTTTTGGCATAAACAAATGACGGTCATAATCATCTGAGCTTAATGTTAAACTTTCCATCGAGTCCCATTCTGCCTCTGGATCAATGTCGTCAGCGTCAAAAGAGAATGAGTTCACTAAATGATTAGTGTTGAGAAAAACAAGCAGAAGCCAGTTCAGCCACATCCTCTGAAATTTCCTACTACCGTTTCTGTGCTTCATTACTTTTCTGAGGCTCTCCATCCATCTCAATGTGGTTAAAGTGCTGGGAGGACATTTGTAGTAACAGTGTGACAAGAAACACCTGCTGATAATTGGCTCAAACCTGTGAACCAAACGGAGTGAAGGAGCGCCACTTGAAAACAGGTCAAGTTTGACGTCTGCTGGATAAAAACTGGTATTGCATGTAGCATAAAAACACCTGCTTGTAAGACTTCATCTCTTTATCAATTGTGAAAAAATTGGTTGAGTTTGAATTTTGTCTCATCTCTCTGCTTCATATAAAATCAAAATAATGACTTGGTACAAACACTTTTTCCAGTTCTGTTGCCTTTTTTGTTCCATGTCTTATATGATAAATATAACTTAAAGGATAGATAATATGAGAAGTATTTTGGAGAATGTCTTTTTATTTAAACATCAAATAACAGGACAAATATTAAGGTTATGAGATGACATACTAAAATATATAGTTTCTAATATAGTGATAAAAGTGCCAAATAACAAAGTAGTGCTAAAAATAGAATATTGCTATCTTATTGTGTTTTTATTTACAAATATTTACTATAATAACTATATAAATCTACATAAATAATGTGACAACATTAATTAAAATGTTTTGCTCCCAACGAGAGTGATCTGTGTTGCATCTATATGGCAAATCTGTGACTGCATAGCTTATATTTTGGGGTTGGGAACCTCAAGAGAAGTTCACCCTCGTCCAAAAACCTCACAAAAGCTGATTGCGTGCATTAGCTTGTCACGAAGTGTGTTGATATCGCTGTATTTGGGAAGAATTAATTTGCCGAAACAGGTCTGGGCCTCTGGCAGTCGGTCTTCTGCATCAGGACAGTCTGACTGTGAAATCTTCAGAGAGCGCTTTGAGAAACCTTCCACAGGGACACGGTCCGTTCCATACATGAAAACTAGAGAAAAATAAATAATGTGAGGCAATAATAGTGATATTCCCTAAATGTGCATGTGACGTAGATGCATCAAGACATTCATAAGTTCAAGACAACACTTACTCAGAAATTTCCTCTTGTTCTCCTCAGTGAACTCAAAGAAAACAGTCCAGAAGTTCTTGATGAGCTCATCAGAGGCAGAACACTTTTCATAGGAAGCACACTGAAGATGAAGCAGAAAAACTCAGGTACTATAAAATATTTAAAATGCTCTTGTTGCAAATTGGCAAGTTTCTTGAACACTTTTACCTGCTGAAGCTCCTTCCACTCGTATTTAGGGGAGCCGCGGAGAAGCGCCTGGAGTTCCTCAGGGTGGAACATGCTCCAGAAATCGAGGGGGCAGCCCTTAAAGAAACCTCTTGAAAAATGCTCGAACTGATTCTTCACTGACTTGTTGAAAACAAAGTCGACATACAAATCCAAATACTTCTGTCTGCAAAAAAAAAAACAGTGTTCTTACTTTGCAATAAAAGATAAAGAAATCTACTGTAGCACTGCAAAACAGGGAACATCTACAGCACCTATAGGCTAAATTCCTTGTTTTATGTTGTCTTTTCATGTAATATCCGTTCAGAAGTAATGGATAATTCATTGAAGTATATTACAGTCGCTTTAGTACATTTTTTGAATTTTTGATTCCTAGTATCTGCAAACCAGTAAATGCATTTCTCAAAACAATTCATACAAACAGAACCACACAATGGATTACTTGCAAAAGCCTGTAACTTGCTCAAAATCCATCAAGTTGATCTCTCAAAAGTAAGTATTTATGTCAATGAACATATCAGTGCCATCAGAATGACAAGTCTTTGTGTCACTGATCACGAACAAGATAGTCAAAATGCTTAGCCATGTTGTCACTATAACAGTGTGCTCTGTCAGTATTTCCTGATGTGAACTATGGCTACGGTTTTGATGACAAAGATTGAAAATGCACTTTTCCTGTATGATATAACAATAGTACAAATGTACACATAACTGTTTGTGGGATCTATATATATATATATATATATATACATATATATATATATATATATATACATATATATATATATATGTGTATCTGTATAAAGTATATTTACTATATAATGTAAAATGCAAGTGGACTACAGTAATATGGAGCATTACAGTAAGTATACAGTATTACAGTACAGTGCACATAGTTTGATTACATTACATACCTCTACTACTGTGTGCAAATGTTTGAATGATTGAGGACACGGTTGTTCTCCCAATATTTGGCTGCATCTTTTAACCTGCCTCAGCAATTGTGAGGTTATGATTGAGATCAAGGTCCACTATAGTGTCCCTTTTTTTCATTGGAAACATGGCTACATCCTCGGCCTCTTCTCCTCTTTTGTCTGCCTCCCTACCCTTTCACCTACCCTTTTAGAGAACTGGTTGATCACTGGTTGATCTAACGTCTTACATTTCCCGTCATTAGTAAAATTCAAGATTCACTGGCACATTTTCTAATTTTTTCTAAGTGCCAGTCTAATGGAAAATATGATTGACAGATTATGACAACTAGCTCAACCATTTTGCATTGACTGGCTTAAGCAATGAACTATTGCCTAGATGTTTTGGGGGGTAAGACTATTCAACAGAGAACTAGTATAATATATTTTGATCAACATGATATAAGCAACTGATAATGTAGTAAACAGCAGATGATTGTATATAATCAATCGCATGAATGTACAAAAGCATTCGCAATTTGTTCAAAATAATGAGAAATTGCTTTTATGATGTGCACAAGTGACTAGATGATGTGAAGGTTGAACAAGTAATTTTGAGAATTTTAATTCTGATCTGAAAAATGTACCAAAGCGACTTTGAAAAACTGTATAGCATCACAAGGACATATAGAAAAAGGAACGTTTTATCAAGACAAGCTTGATTCAAAGATTCAAAGATATTAACCCCCAGTTTCACAGACAAGGTTTAAGCCTAGTCCCAGACTAAAGTGTAAATCTGAGCTGTTTTAACATAAAGAAACTCGCACTGACTGATCTTGAAATATATCAGTGCCTTTGTTTTGTCTCAAGATGCACACAAGTAATGTTTTTTCTAAGGCATGTTAATAAAAATGACTTAAATGTCCTAATTGAACTATGGCCTAATCCTGGCTTAGTCTAAGCCCTGTCTGTGAAACCGGGCCTAAGAGTTTGAAGAGTTGAGACAGACAGATAGATAGATAGATAGATAGATAGATAGATAGATAGCCAATTACACAAGAGCAAACAGTTTCTACCTATTAGATTTAGTCACTGGAATTTGATTTCCATTTGGAATGAGCTCTTGCCCTTTGACCTGAAAGAGGTAAATAACAGCACAAATGTAAGTTTTAAAATAACAGCTTTGTACACTGATACAAATGAACCATAGAAACTGTATTACCGTGAAATCCAAAAAGAGCATATCCACTACTTCATCTTCTTCCTCCTCAAGAAGGCTTTTCAGACTTCTAATGTGAGATTTTTCAAATACAATTATGGATATGACCTGCTCTGTAAAGGTAGTGTGAAACCTACAATGTATAAAATCTAATGTCTTGTAGTCTTTAATTGTTTACCTGGCCTCCACAGGAGACAGTTCCTCCAGATCATTCAGAGTGGGACTCAGCTGGAGGAGTTTCTTGTACAAGGCCAGTGGGAAGTCAAGGTTTATATAATGATGGTTGTAGAGCGCTATTCCACAAATAACACCAAGATAGTAAAAATCACTATCATCTTGCATGCCCTGAAAAGACACAAGCATCATAGCACATCTTGATATATGAGGGAAACCACATAAGGAAGAACGAGGAATGTTTGGTGTAGAACTTACATCAGGATTGAACCAAACCAGTGAACTCTCATGGACTTCCAGCACCTTCTTCTCCCATTTCAGAAGAGACTGGGAAAGGAGGGAGAAAAATTCTGCCGATAAACCCCTCATATCTATTCCATTCTCCCCGATGAACACCACCTGTACAGGAGATTTTCATTAAGGTAAAATGTTTCACAACACAAGGCCTACAGTATAGTAAAATGGCATATCAGATGTTTCAAATGGTCAACTTTTGAATTTTAGTTCTATTTACCTCCAATTGATGTAAAAATAAGTGGATGTCTTGTCTGAGATACTCAAGTGTGTCCATCAACACTGATTCTCTGTTTATGAGCAACATGTTGATATTGTCATTCAATATGAATCTGTCTCGACTGCTCTGTATCCATTCGTCCCGCAAGTACTTAAAAAAAGTACAATAATGTTATCTCAACTTAGCTGGTTATTTGCATTTACATTCACAGGGTGTTTACACGACACTTTTCCAAAACTAAAAATGGAAAAACTTTTATCCATTTATTTACACAACAACAGCATTTTGGGGGCCTGAAAACGCAAACTGTTGAATTTGTGAAAACTCTGACATCATGTACATGCACATGTTCAGTCTATAGATGTGTGCACATGTGCGTAGTGTTTCTTTACAAAGTGACATCGCCAACTACTGGCCTGGCATGCATAATACAGCGTTTTGTAGTCGCTTTCTCGAATCTGTGTGAACGGGGATTGTTTTGCCAATTTTGTTGTCTGTACATGACATTTTTCAAAAACACCAAGGAAAAACTTCTCCGTCTTTAGTGCTTCACTGTCGTGTAAACGTACCCTCAGATTAGCATAGCATATGTATGACTGAGTACATCCCCATGTCTGTCACTTACACGAAACATTCTCCATTTAGATACAGTGTCAGCCGCAAAAGGGAACTTGAATAATATTTGAATTATTCCCTGAAAGAAAGATGCATGGGAGTAATATAGGATTTCAGTTATTGAACAAAGAGCAAATATTCATATGCATCATATTAGAAGCCTTCAATACCCACAATGTAGTACTTTTTCAAAACTGTTTCATTGAAATCAATGCACTCTTCCAGGTCTTCCATGGTGACTTGCAGCTATTGATGTAGAAAAAGAGAATTGTCTTGTATTTTGGTTTTCCTGAAAGAAAAAAAGAATCTGTGCAGCACAATTCACTATTGCTTTGGTTCTTACCGTATCTAGTAGATCATTGATCTCATGAATGATGAAATCCCTGTTTGTGACGTCTCTGTTGGCACTGCAGCAGACCTTCACAACAAAGTATAAACAACTATTATACTATGATAGGTTAAATTACATCTTTGATCCAATGCTTAAAAAGGCACCTGATAGATCATCTGAAGGATCTGCATAAAGTTCTCCAAGTGTTGTATATCCTGATTCATTTCACCCCGAGAAACCTGGCCAATCATCTCAGCAGATGCTTTGCGAAATAACTTGACCAGGCTTTTGAGGCAATCATCCGGGAGTCTGGACCAGTACTTCTCTGAGAACATAATATAAAAATACTTAGACAAATACAATAAGGTCAAAAACACAAAGGCTGAAAAGTCTTTCAGCTTTACCTAACACTTTGCGAGCATCAGGATTCAGCTGAAGAATTTTGGAGGCCAGAGCTTCAGTGAGTTCAGTTCGTTGTTGTTTCTGGAGACGTCTGATGAGCTCAGGGAGGAGAATGTAAAGTCTCAGAGATTCCTCACCAAATGGATTTGGATTCAGAGATCGCAGCATCTGTTGAACCACCTTCACTACCTGTGATATACAACTTAAATGAATTTCAGGTTGAATACAGTTTAGTTCTCTCAAATCATTTGGACTTGTTCTTTAGTTTGTGAAAGTAAAGAAAAAAGTAAATAGACACCACACAGATGATAGAAAACCCCTTTCAGGACCTTTAAGTTATATTACATTTATTTGCATCTTTTAATGTTAAACAAACTGAATATTTTGGATTTGTTATACCTTTGATATCACCTTTTCATTCCCTAATAACTTTGAAAAAGCTTTTTCAGCCAGCTCAAAATCCTGTTCATCATGACTACAAAAAACAAAAATGTACATCAATATTTGTGATGATTTCAGCTGATTAATTTTGGGCTCAAAAATTGCTAGACATATGTACTTCTGAGTTACCTTGCTTTGAGAAAACTTCCATTCAAACAGGCAGCAGAGGAGAACACTTTTTTTATTTCCCTGTAAATATAAACCATTTATATGCATTACCCTACCATATATAAATTGGTCGCCGTGATCTATATAAATTACAGGCCACAACATTAAATACTAGTAAGACTCCTAACATACATAAGTCACTTACAATATTCACTTATACTGTAGTAGGTTTAGAAAGAGGGTCAAATCTGTTTGCTCAATCCCTGAAGGCAAGCACTGACAAACACTTTGACAATATTTATATTATTCATTTTTTAAGGGTGACCTGGACATAATACACATAAATGAAAACGGAAGCTCTGTCTATGGAACTCACTTCTTTATTGCTGCCCATGAGTCTCTTTCAGACACCCAGCGGTCAATCATTCTGTCATTTAATGTCAAAACCCCTCTGATAGGATTGGGTTTAGACTTTGCAGACTCATTTCCAAGTTCCTACAAAAAAAAACAAAAAAACAATTAATCCCAGTGCAGCAACAATGTTAAACTATTTATGAATAAAAACTGCCATGTCTTACTTTGAAAAACAAGGCAAAGGAATGATTCTCCCCAGCTATGAGTTTTTCAATCGTATATTCATGATTACATTCTGTGTGCAACAAATACTTAATTTAGATCTCTGAGCATCATCATGAATATAAAAATATTCATAACAAAATAGCCTATTGCTATAAACTGATTTTTAATTACTAGTTGACAGATCCACAGGGAAAGGCACAGACTTCTTGATCATTTTGCAATTTCCCAACTTCCCTTGTATCCAACATCCAAATGAGTAGATCAGCTTTGACGACGCGACTGATACGAGTGTGTGATGTCTTTATGAAAAAATAATCAAATGCATAATTACTGAGCAAAACTTATACATCAGACATGTTAATCATGTGACGAATTATGTAGAGCTAAAGACATTGCACAGTGCATAAAAAAATCTGTAATATTGCTCTGAAATGTTGATTGCTAATAAAGCTTATGAACAGTCTTTACCTCCCACATGTGACCTGTGACACTTCAGATCCCCACAGTTCAGCAACCACCCGCGGACGATGTTCGTCTTTAAACGATTTGTGCCCAAGCTGACCAGAACCTCCTGATCCAAATGTGAATACTGTGCCGCCCTGAAACAAACTATTTACTACATTTTCTGTCCAGCTTGCTTTTACGCTAAATACAGCATAAAACCTAATATATTATGACCATAGTACCTTTGATAAAGTAGCAGTGTGTTCCCCTCCACATGAGATGGACACAATTTGCTTCTGGTTAAGACTATTTACAACCGTTGGGACGTGTCTGTCTGTGGTAGTACAAAACAGTACATTTGTCACTTACAAATACACCATATTCATGCTTTGATATAGATTTGATACAGTATTGCACAAATTTAGTACATTTATATGTAGTTTTATTTAGGGGCGTCATGCACTCATGATTTT